GTCGCTTCAGGAACTCTGAAAATGATACTTAAAATTTTCATCCAATTATTATCTAAATAATTCATTCACAATTTTTAATTTAATCTTCTATTATCTATAAATAGAAAAAAATCTTTTGTACCAACGTAATGCGATTTAAAAACAACGTTTGCTATGAATAATTTTAAAATAATAATAAAACTATAAATGCAATTGGGTAACCTAATTAGAGAGTCAAGTTGTCTCCTAAACAGCCTCAATGTATAACAATAGCTTTAAAAACGATACAACGTAATTTGATAACTGTAAAAGAGTGGCGAATACATTATGATAGAGATCACAGATTACAGTCAGTTTCCAACATGCACGCACGCACGCACACGAACCGACTGTCACACTATTAGAACACGATCACTGTACACATTTTCACATCTACGAGTGCATTATTGGAAGTAGGCTGTTCGACTGGCCAAGTCCATTGTCATTGATCCTACCTCTGGTGAGCGAATACTCCGGCCATAAAAGCCATTTTAAAAACGCATCATTGCGACTTCCACGCCAATCTATCTCAACCAAACTATATATGAAAATGCAATCACTTGTATTTCAATAAGATTAATTCGAAATAAAAGTATGAATCTCTGATACGAGAATATTGGTCACAGAAGAGAAACGGATAGAAATGGTAGTAGTGTATACTTGATACCTAACGTCCCGGCATATTTAAAATTGGTCCGATCTTGTAGTAACAAGCGATCACTTAGATTGGGACTGAAGTAGCAGTGTTGTATTTTTAAGTAAAATAAATTTAAACCGCGTTACTCATGGTGTTCGTGTGCGAGAACAAATGAACCTTCTAGATGTGAAAGAACGATCACTTTTGCGTTTTGTTCGGGACAATAGAGATTGGAAATGAGCAAAATCGTATGAGCAGTTATACCATGTCAACCGATAGATCACTATTCACTAAGCTGGGAGTAGATCAAAGTCGTCCGAAACATGTACCATCGGAACATGCACGTCTTCTATTTGAGGTGTTGCCTTAAATTCGCATAATCCAACTTCTTTCAGTTTCCATTCCCAATCCATTTTTTGCACCGCGTGTAAAGATTCAGCTTCGTTATGATGTCTAAGCAACATAGCTTCCTAAAACGATCGAAGACAAAGTAGAAAATAACGAATGTGTCGGGGTACGATGAGAATCAGGCCATAAATATTTGAATCGGTGCAATTTTTACCTTAATTTTTTCCCATTTATCATCGACATCTTGCAACCAACTCAGAAATAACCTGCCGTTATATCGACTCCTCGCGTTTCTGTCTTTCTCTTCTTGCTCGGGTGTAATAACATTATAAACCTCTTCGTCTTTTAATATAGTACAAACGGAGAAAGGAAGAGATTGGTTAGCGAGAGCTCTAGCTGCTCTGCCATGTACTCTGAGAATTTCTTGTTCCACCGATAAAACTAATTTCTCCTTTTCGACAACATGTTGCATTCTAAGACGATATCTTTCCTTTTCTTGTTCGATATACAAATCCTTCATGGCGCCTTGCAACCCAACCGGAGGATTAACGTTTGGCTCTTTATTCGCATTTCCAGCTAATACGTACGTACAACGATTCATTAAATAGTCTTTAAAGCCCTGAGGTGGTTTCGGCTGAACCGGAAAGAGGCCCTTTCTTCTTCGTTCGATCTACAAACAGAAATGATTATTATTGCTTTGCAACGTGTATACAAATGAATCGAAATAAACGTTAAACTTGGGGAAAAATCAGACCTGCTTCCTAATATTGAGAAACAATTGATAACAATTGGTAATAGGCTGATCGTGCGGATGCACTTCTGGACCGGTATTGGTGGTTTCGGATGTTTCACTGGATGCGGCTGTAGCAGCTTGCTGTGCTTCTTTATTTGGTTTCATTTTTCTTTTTCGGGGATGAAGCTCAACAGGTGGTGCCGGGGTACCTACGTTCGACGCTGTCGACGAAGTAGTTGCGGAAGCGTTCTCCGAGCTCTCTACGTTACCATCTTTTTGACTTTTTCCGCCAGTATCGGTACTTTTCTCCGACTTTTCCATCATAATATTGGTTTTCAAACTAGCATTACTATTCGAAGCGTCCACAGAACTAGATTTATTCGATTCGGCACCAGCCACTTCGGGTGTCGGCGAATGGTGGCGTTGTTGCGGAGACGAGTTATTCGAACGGTCCGTTGAAACGGTTACAGGCAGGGGAGACGAATTAGGATAGTTTCCGCTACCGGTCGAGGCAGACGTTTCTTTCAAGGTCGACGAGCCGTTACTACCATTGCTAGATCTATGGGAACTTCTAAGCACCCGTTGATGATGCGTCGACCTTTCCTCCCCGTGCTGCAAAGCTCCACTGAAATCTTTCTTGTCCTCGTTTTTAGTATTATTTCCGCTTTCCGTGGGACTCGTCGTACCACTCGCGGACTGATTCTGATCCTTGTCCGTTGAATCGTTACTATTAGAACTTGCCACTACGTACGGTAACTGGTGACTTCTATTGGACGTGCTTTTCCCATTTCTATTTCCCTGTTCTTGCTCGGACGTGCTACTCTGTGGGATAACGATTTTCAAAGGCGGTACTTTGGGTGCCGAAGCGGAATCGGAACCTTTCGATCTATCGTCTTCGCCATCGGATTCGGGAGGTGCCGGTGTAGTAGTTGTTTTCGCGTTCGTCGTCGAACCAGAGGGATTAGAAGGCTTCGGACTGCTCGCCATCGAAGCGGTACTCGGACTTTTCCTATCTGCGCTAATGGAAGTCGTGTTTTGATTGCTCTTACCGGAAGTTGCTCCGGATCCCTGTTTACCCGATTTTGTGCACTGGAACGAGAAGCAGAGCTGCGTTAGAGTTACGATAGTTCGTTATTCTATTTTCATCTATTATACAAACGTTGCGTGTGCTGCAACGGTATATATACCGATACATACTTTTTCCCCCAAATTGGCAGTATTTCTGCCCGTACTTTGCCTTCCGGTTGTAGCATTCTTCAAATTGTCTTTCACAGGCTCCGAATCTTTGCGTTTTTTCCTACGGTTCTCTTCGTCCTGTTCCTCGGGATTGTCGCCCTCGAAGGCACGCTTGGACGAAGGTGACGCCGAGACGGTAGCAGCATCGTCGGTGGAAATCGAGGTCGTCGTCGTCGTCGTCGTCTCGCCGGACGATGTCGTCGAGCCACCACTGGCAGACGCGTTGCTACCCCCGCCGGTTTGATTTCCCTGACCGCTGGCACTCTTGCCACCGTCTTTATCCTTCTCGGGATTCGGATTCGGCGAGGAACTGGCACCTCGTACGGGTGTCGGTTCCTTCGAACTTTTAAATTCATAGACGTCGCCGTTGTCGTTGGATGCCGACGATGCGTTCCCCGACGCGCTCGAGCCCGAGACAGCATTATTCACGGTCGCCGAGGAGACGTTCGACGTCTTCATTGAAGTTTCCATCTGACCTTGATTCTGTAGACATCGACGCGTCGCTGCATAATCTTTTCTATCGTGAGATATCGCTATCGAAATCATAGATTTTGCTACGAATCGTTTTTATTCGAGACTCGGAGATACGCGGTCCGGATCTTCGAAGCATATTACGTATAATGTTTTCAAGATTGTCTCATTAGGAGACTCGTGTACAGCTTTTTCGAACATAAAATGCCGAACATTGAATAATCAGAATCGAAGGATTACGAAGAAATAACGCGCGTACCTGTGCGTTCATGCTGCCCTGACGGGAGTTGGCAGTGCTCCCTCCTTTCTTTTCATCCCTTGCTCCTCGCACCTGGTTGAGTCGAAGCGTCACCCTCGGCGAGCTTCCAGACTGCCCGGTTCCCGATCTGTCAACTGTGGAGAACAAAACACTGGTTAATTGCAGGAACAACGACCGAATGCCGGGGAACGAGATTCCTCGAAACCAGTACTCTTCTGGCGCGCGCACGCACGCACGCACGCACACACACACACACACACACACACGCGCGCACACAGGGGGGCGACGGAGGACAGAATCGGCCGGTCGGAAAGAGAAGGAGTGATTAGAGGTGGGGTGCGGGGGGGAGAGAGGAGGGGGGCAGGAGGCATATTCGTAGAGGGGAGGACAAAGAAAGATACACAAGGGAACGAGCCGCTGGTTGCGATCATCGATGGTACAGTCCTTTAATCACCAGATTCCTGGGAGAACGAGTTCCCCGAGTAGCTCGACCAAGGAGCGAGAACCCTGAATCGCGATCGATACGTTTACCAGTTTTTTACTGGCCGATCGCGTTACAGGAAATCGTGTCGTTAAACTCTTTATTCCGGCCGCTTTAACGTGCCCCTAAAACTGACCGATTGGCAACAGAGCTTGCGGATCGAACGAAAGCGGTGCACCACAATTTCACGAATCTTACTTATCGGTAATAAACTCGACGCGTTCGCGATACAAAAAATACCTAAAATTTGAAAGAATAAAAACTTTGGAAGGATTTAAAAACGACGTGGATTCCATATAACGGTATTGGCAAACGATACGATAATACGCGGAGAGAATCCTTTAAACGTACAGAAATAGCCCAAAGGGCGATGACATGGATGACAGATCGTAAAACATGTTACAAGATGCGGGTAGTTAGTGGACAAACTAACGGCTACCGCCTACAACTACCGTCTCGCGACGAGACAGCTCGAAACGGATCCGAAGGCGGTGCGCGCGCGGGGCATTTCGAGACGCGTGCGTCGGTCGTCGATCGTCGATCGTCGATCGCATTTATACCGACCCCTTGTTTCCCTATAAATGATTTCCGTCCGACCTGGACGAATGTACGATACTAAAGTAATCGTGTAACTTTCCGTGAAAGAATTAATTTGAGAAAAATGATGAATTCTTTCTTGCTTGTAACATATTTTTAACGATACGCAACGAATAGTCCTCGTTAAAAGGAAAAACTATCGTCGAAAAATGTTTCTCCACGTTTTCATCGCACATCCCTAAAGTTTCAGAATTTGTTCAACTTCCGAATTCGAGTGCTTCGCTCGTCGAACTCGACCAAGGACATCGTGCGACGAGCAGACCTGTTTCAAGCGACTATGTCGCACCTTGAGATTTATGGTAGATCAACGGCTATCGAACCGCGTACACGCATAAAGCGGAACAGAACCACGATGCTAGATCGAGCGGTACCAATGGAACGCGACGTTTGCGTATCTATTATTGAAAATTAACGGAGCTCTCGCGGTCGCTCGACACACCGTACGCATAAAACACTCGACGCGGTTGTCCCAATGACGGGCAGGCAGATAAATACTCGAGTCGCGATTATCGTAAATCGAGTTCGGGATACAATTTAGTATTTCGTAGCTCGTTTCCAGAGATTTTAGGATGCCGTGCGATATCGAGAGGTTGACGGAGGTTGACGCAAGCTCTGCTCGATCAATATGTAATCGAATCTGCGAGTCGACACGACGTCGGTCGTAATTTCAGAATTCGAGTCGATACGCGCGTCTTCGAACCGTACGCGGGCCAACGAGATCCGGTGTAACACGGATTTCCGAGAGGGCTGTAACCGTCCGTGATAGACGCTCTTATTAGAATCGTTTTTAGTTGGTCGTTGTTCTTTCACGTTTTCCCGGTGAGATCGAACGGTGAAACTGTTAGACCTGCGCGATTCCCTACGACTCTTTCGAGCGATACGGACGATAGGTTGACGAAGAATGGTTTTAACACAGGGATGACGACTATCTGTACCAGGCTTCGAATGGATCGAGTCGAACCGACACTGACTCACCGATGACCGACGAATGACCGAAGACTAAATGACGATGAACCGACAAGCGACAACTGACCTAGAGAAGAATCGGTTTCGAGTTTTTATACCGTTTCGTGAACGGAAGACTAGAAATTGGTTGGCCAGTGACGCGATGGAAGGGGATGTAAAGTGACGTACACGCAGTGCCGCAGGTAGCAAGAAACCCTGGACGGGCGACCGAAGCGGTGCGTGCCAGCGACCCTGTCATAAAAGATGCTGCCGACGAAGGTGTGCGTTATTCGAAAGTGCAGAAATGGCTTTATTGCCGGAAAGAAGAAGGCTCGAGAAATCATAAACTTAGAAATTGCAAGGAAGAAGGCTCTACGAAATTGAAAACCTAACGAACGCGACCTTTCGTCGATTGCGCGTCGTTCGTCGAAGGACCGTTAATTTGTCTCGTCGAGCCGAAGATTCCCCGTCGATAAACGTTTTTCAGGGATGAAAGGAAAAGGCGATTCGTCCCGGAGAAAGTTAGGCGGATGCAGCCCGTAAATTCCGTTGAAGGACGGAACAGACGTTGAACGCAACACGCCTTCTTCTCGCTGTTCGATTCGCTTCGTAATAGAAGGAATTGTGCCAATGGAACTTGGCGCTCACGGATATTGTGTCCGAAAATACATCGTCTCTCTGCTCTCGGTCAATGAATTCATAGTTGCCCACCGTTTTTGCACAGCATTGGCGCGCGTTATCGGCACGACGGGCTGCTCGTGAACGGCATCGATGGTTTTTAATTTACGTTCAACGATTCCATCGGAATGGAAGAGTATGCTAAAATACCAAGATTTTCGAAGCGAGAAAGCGGCTCTCGCCGTTGCAACGCGGACGCGCGACGATTCGCGCTCTGGTAATTACCGCGTAACGGCTACCCCCCCGACAGCGCCCTAACTATGCAACACTGTCCGCGATGAAACGTCTATAAATAATTTCTTAAATATGTATCCGATGAAACGAGGACTACGATCGCTGCGCGAATTACGGTAACGAACGACAGAGTCCGACGTAATGGTTTTACAAGCTGCAGCGCAGCTACGCGATCGTTTATATCGGCTGGAAAATAGGCGAGGATCGCGAATAAATATTCTCTTTGCGATACCATCGTCAGCGTAATGCCAATGCGAGAAGCGCGACGCTATCTTTAGAACGAGAGTACATATTTGTGCAACGATCTTTTCAGGAAACGACGACGAGCAAATATAACTGTGTATTCGCGCGCGGGCCGGGAAAATTCCAAGAAACGCCGATGCATTTCGGCAACTTTACGAACGTACTGCTAAATTAGCGCTCGCTACGATCCATTCTGCACGGTTTCCGTTGCAAGTAGCTACGCGTACCCGGTAATTCTGCGAATGCAACATACGCGCGTATACGTATACCGTTTCGCGTAGCACGCGTTGCCCTCCCACGTAACCCGCTCGAGAACGATCTTCGAAGTTTAATCGAACGCGCCGGTTTCCGATATCGTCGGTTAATCGAGCCGCCGATAATACCTTTTTACCACACGATCGACGCGAAAGTTGTACGAACAACTGTTCGCGAGCGAGTATCGTACCAGTTGAAACCGATACTCCGTGTACGATCGACTATAATCGAAACGGTCCGAAACGATGGAGAAATCGAATAATGAAAAGAGATAAGATACTTTGGAGTACGCTTTCGGAGTTATTAACATGTGTTTGTGGAACAACTGAGATATCGATATGGAATTTTATCGCGACAGTTATCTGTGCACAGTATTTCCTTTCTCCGGAACCGCAGAAAGCTTGTTCGGTACGCGTAGAGTACTCGTAAGGCTAGCTGCTCCGACTCCGACTCCGACACGGTTCTCTCTCTCTCTCTGTCGGTTCTTCCCAAGGAGTGGCGGGGATGGAAGAACGACAGTTAACTGTACAAGAAATGCGGTAGTTATCCGTGCATCGTTGCATAGCAAAATATACAGGGTAATACATCTACGAGATATTTAAGCGGACACCACCCTGTATATTCGTATGCACCGGGTGTCTTAAATTTGCCCTCGAGAGAATGCTCTATACGCTCTACGGTCTACGATCGTAATATTGTAGAAGCGACGAGAACGGATGGCGAAAAGATGTATCGACAAAATTATTCAAGCTTGTAATATTATATTTTTGTTCGGCAGTATAAGATCGGTGAAATCGACTGGTTGGCCGGTAGCATTTCGAATCGTCGCCCGTTCTTATAAATACAGGCCCGACACCGTTCATCGAGACCGAATGTATTTACGCGTTAACTATTTTTAAGTACACGTTCGTACGAGATTTTCTATATTTTTACTTGTACGCTACGTCGCGACGCCGTTTCGCGGCGAAAGAACACCGACAACTTCGATTTCGTTGCACAAGCTGAAATTTAAATCGTCTCTCGTTACTTCTTTCCATTCCTGACCTTTGTAAACACTACACCGCATCGCGAGTCTTTAACTTGCTCCGAAAGATAATATTCTTTCGACGAGACGATGACACACGGTTTATCGGGTTCCGTTTGAGAAAAAAGTTCGTTAACTTGCTCCGGCTCGCGCGCGACAAACAGAATTCTACATCCGATGACGCGCGTTATGGCGGACACGGGTCACGGCACAGTGTTGGTAAACGCGTACGACATTGTATCTTGCAACCGATTGTTTTAAAATAAAGGAAAGTACGCGTGTCGCGGCAGTTCGTACGGTAAACGTTGCTACGGAAAGCGAAACCAAAAGTTTTCGAAACGAAATATTGGTGCAACGAGAAGCGAGCACCGATCTCGGCGAGCGCGATTAAGTCCGCGCTAATTGAAGCGCCGATTAAAATCTAGCAATCGGACGCCGCAACGAAGCGAGACGATATGTAACGAAAAGAATCAAGGTCGAGCGCCGATATTACTTTCAACGGTGTCATTGTTTTCTTTCGCGACCCCGTGATTTATACTACGAAGAATTAGCATATCGCGCGAGCTGAAAGTGTCAAAGATTTGGTTGCGTCGAAAGCGGGCACGGGACACGCGTTGTATCGTGTTTCTAACGAGTTCCGCGAAACGCGCCAGACATAGTACGTAACCGGTTTTAATCTTGCTAGACATGTTTTTAATTGCAGCCGTTAAATAATTCACAGGTCCTTCATTTAATTCCCTCGACTCCGATTAATTTCGCCGTCGATATTTCGCTGCAACCTGCAACGATACCGATAACGTTTCGTTCTACATCGTTTATTCGCGAACGTTATTCGTCTCGTACCTGCCGCTGCCCGATGTAAGTTTCGAAAAAACAGGTACAGAGACGGTAACGACGGAGCTTGTAAGCTTGTAAAACGGTGCGCAGTTGCAGCGACTGCAACGTAAACCCCTTTCGGAGGTGCGATCACCCTAGCGGTGTCGATGGACGCAACCCGTGAGCGCAAACGTGTCCAATGTACTTACTATACTTGCTCGCCAGTCAGCGTGCTCCCTCTCTCTTTCTCTCCGTCTACCTCTCCCTCGCGCGCGCTCTCTCTCTCTCTTTTCTTTCTCTCGCTCATTCTCTACGCTTCGTCTCGGTCTTTGTCTGCCCCACCTCGCGCTCCTTTCTCGCTCACCTCTGCAAAGCTCTGCCTTTGTCCTACTCCGTCGCCGGCAAAACCAGATGTATTCCAAGGTTCGACACTCCCGTTTCGTTAACGACGATGCTTCTCAACCGGGCCGAACGGAACACCGTGGCGAGAATCAAACGGAACGGAACGGAACGCGGCGACGCGCGGGCCGAGACAACAATTACGCGTTACCGCCGACGTCGACGTCAACGTCTACGTCGAGGTGATACGTTGAAACACGCGGCAAGCCACGTGGTCGTCAATGCTCGCTAGCAACGGTACTTTCGGATGATCCGACAGCGGCGGGGATCCGCGCACGAAAAGGAACGCGATGGCCTCGAGGCATACCTGTTTGCGCGACAAAAACACACTGGACGATATCGCGCGCGGCGGCAACGATAGCAAAAGCCTCGATGTATCACCGCGAGGAGGCGAGGCCAACGACGAACGGAGAACACAGGGTACGAGGCACGAGGACGGAAACGAGGACGAGGATGAGGACGAGGATGAGGACGAGGACGAGGTCGAGGGCGAGGACGAAGACGTAGACGAGGACGGTCCGCGAGAGTCGTCGAGAGTCGAGAGAGCCGAGAGTCGAGAGTCGAGAGGTTCAGTAGCCGCGGCAGCAGCGTGTGTACACTACTGCCGCCCGCACGGCTCCGGCTCCCATCCCACTGATCCCACACAACACGCCAGACCGAAGACACTAGCGGCTAAGACAGAGAGGAACTGACTCGCGACTGTGTCGCCGCGTCTCCGTCTCAGCCAACTTCTACCCAGGCGGGGCATACTGCATCGCATCGCATATACGATACCGACGCGTCACTACTCGGGAATGTCGCGTCTAATTAAGTACTGTCTTCGCATCGGTCGCTATTATTACCGATCGGTGGTGACTGCACGATCCTCTGTATCCACGCAGTGTATCCGGATGCGCAGAATTTGTCAGAAATATGATTTTATTCGAGGAATCTCGATGGTCTCTTGTTCGAAGGAGGACACTTGAAATTCGCTCGTACTCGTAACAGCTGCCCGCTCCGATCGGATGCACGGTGGTGGTCCACGGACTACGGTAATTCGTGAACGATATTATACAGATTTTTATATCGAATTTTTTCATCGAATTGGCAACAAGATGAGCCAAACTAAAATTCGATATTAATTTTTCGTTCACGAATTATTGTTTCATCGTGGAATTCGATTGTATCACCCGCATTTATAGCATCTTGTCTGCTAACATATATTTGTAAAAGGCAGATCTGTATCGAAGAAAGATATAGACGAAGAATCGGTTCTAATAACCTATTTCGGTCTGATCCGACCAGAGATATAGAATACGTAATATTATCTAAATATCGATGTACAGGTAAATCGTATTTCCCATAGTGTTCGAGAGAGCAAAATTTTATTGTGCCATTCGCAGTTATATCGCATCGGAAAGAGTAAAACTCCCGCTGTGCGATAAACGGAACAATATAGATCGAGATAACGATAATTTGGAGACAGTAAATCCATTTCTCCCATCGTGTGTTCGTAAACTGTCCCTATGCATGTTCGTTTACCGTCGTTACGAATTGTTTTTAATATGATCCGCAGCCCGTACAAAATGTAAAGAGAAACGTGCTGAGAAAAATAATCTAGTTCGTTAAACGACGTGTATCCTATGTATTACACACTTGCGTGTACGTAACCGTAACTATATTCTCCTCGTCTGCATCTGGATCAATTTTTCTAACAAAGAACAGAACGCAATCGTACAGTATTACATTCGATGTTTAAGTTTTATTTCGCCATAATTGTGAATCGCTTGTTGAAAGAACCGTCGTGTCGGTAACTGTACTTGCAACTTGTCGGTAAGAGGATTAAACCATAGACGAGGGATAAGCAGAAACTAATTACGGGATAGATCGGACATCGTATGGAATCACAATTGGATCCGAGTACAGACTTCGTGTCGCCAGGGATCTATAGCACCGACATAGCAAAATGGTACTGACTTTAACGACCTCTGCATCACCGGAACAGCGAAATCGGAAATTGCATCGAAATTGCACACGGGCCGGCCAGCCAAAGATATACCCGATGCAAATTATAATGTTTAAAACGTGAACCGACACGTTCGTTCTATATCATTGAATACGAAGAAAGTTTCGTTTCTATTGTAAATAGTTTTTCAATTCGCTTTAATAGATGATTCGTATCGCAAACCCAGAAAACAAACAATTTATCGCGAAGATCGCAAATTAATGTTCGAATCTAAACTTCGGCGTCGAATAATTGAAACTGGTTTTCTCCACAAAACGGTACTGCAATTTACGACGATTTTAGAGTTTTCCAGAGAGATTCTAGCTTTGCTCGTTGGTTCTCCGTTACTTCCTACTTCTGTGCCATAAATGCGACCATCCGATCCAGAAAATAAACGTAGAATTCCATCACGTGGAACAACATTGAAGCAACGTGATTCTTCCCATATCAAGTTGATCTTGTATATCGTATACGATCTAAAGCTAGTTTTGCAACGTTTAAAACGACCGACCGTTTCGCCGACTCGTTGTTGCTCGTTTATCCTTATAATGCTTTAACAACGGTATATCGTCGGTTAAATAAAAAAGCGATATCGACGATATTCTTTGAAAACTATCGAACGTTAGAGGACGCGCGAGCAGTTTCCTCTATCGTTTCCTAAACTTTCACCGATTTAAGTACTTCCATATGGGCATATTCGGGTAAGAAAAATCCTCTATCGCTTAATTTTCTTAAAGCAGAAGGTTCGATGTCCGCAGCGCGTTATCCAACCCTAGTCGGGTCAGCTGAGCGTTCAACCACCCGAACACGCGCGCACACAGTCAAAAAACTGAGAGCGATGCACCCAAGCCAGACCTTCTCCTTGAACGTTTATCGTTAGCAAAGTTTTCCCCCGCTTACAATTAGCAACTTCGTAAAAACTGTTCACCATTTTTATGCACGAGCTATTATTCTGGACTTCGAGTTTACGAATTACGACTTTTCGAGTTACGAGAGTCGAAAATTTGCAGGAAATATCAAGCTTTGTCGCTAAATTCGTACAAATTTAGCTCCGTTATTCGATATGTACGATTTTTCATCATTTTCCTCTATACGTTCAACGTTTACATTTACCAATATTTCTTCTCGAACGAAGAACCTACAAATTTGTAAAATAGCGTAAGGATGTTGGATGACAATGTAATTTCATCGTGATCGCGTATTCCAACAATTTGTAGTATTTACTGGAAAATCGTCGATGAAACGTGAAACTCGCGCGAGTAAGAACCGGATATTATCGACCATACACAGAGAAACCGCAACACGCGTATTTATAACTTACATACACTTTCGTGATATCGTTTTCAGAGAGTTGCAACAAAAATGATCGCTTGCAAATTCAACCACCGACGCTTATTCTTCTTCTTATCGCGTCAGATATACCTAATGTTTCCGTTCAAGGTTATTTAAAAACATAGTATAGTATGCGATATAATTCTCGATGTATTTTTGCAACGTTACGTATACTTTTCTACCGGTGTGCGTAAATGTTTAATTTCTAGTAAAGCTCTGCGATTGAAAGAAAAAAAAACTCCAAAAATGTGTAGAGACATTTATTACATTATTTCCAAATAATGTTAGTGCATTTTTTCGCTAGTATCTCTCTGTAATGGTGTTTTAGTATAGTTGGTACTTATCGATCGGATGGTCAGTCGATATGCCTTTAGTTTGTTTTCGGGCATGATTAACTTTTAATTTTTATCGCTTTATTTTGTGTATTTTTGAATAAAAAAATTGAATACGTCTTCTTCGACAAATATAAAGCTAATTATGCCCGAAAAGAAACCAAAGGCACAGCGATCGGTCACCACCTCGTAGTAACCGGCTCCACTACTACCCTAAATGCTTATTCTTAGTTTCCATTCAAATAATAATACGAAGACATTTACAGTGGCCGAGTTAAATGAAACATTCTGTAGGCATAAATACATACAAACTCACCTTTATTTTGCGGTGGTGTCCTCCGCATCTCACAGGGGGCTCCACTGTCCTCAGCAACGTGCAGTGCAGCGGCTGGCGCACTTCCGGTCGTACGTTGCTGCTGTTGTTGGAATTGGGAATGGTGGTGTTGGTAAAGCTGCTGCTGCTGCTGCTGCTGCTGCTGTTGTTGTTGTTGTTGTTGTTGCTTCTCTTGTTCCTGTTGCTCGTTCGATGGCGCTGTTGCGCTTGTTTCAACTGGAGAGCATGAGTTATCAGACGCGAAGGTGGTACTCTCATCGGGTGAAGTCGTACTTGTGGTATCTGTGCTCACAAATGAAACGGAAATAAAAACCTAGTAGACGCGTGCTCCTACGATTCTCCTATATACGATCTAGAGTATCTTTTGTGGAAAGAATAGAAAATAGTGGAACAGTGGCACAAGGAAACAAAGTTCGGTCGAATATACGTATGTAGATGTTTACGAATGTCACGAATCTACACGTTCGACGAGACGAGAGAGAGAGAGAGAGAGAGAGAGAGAGAGAGAGAGAGAGAGAGAGAGAGAGAGAGAGAGAGAGAGAGAGGGAGAAGCGAACATTCGTTTCACACGTATTTCAGTATTTTCACATTCTGCCCAACGTCTTTATAATTTACGTACACTATTCGAACACGAGGACCTGCGCGCAAGGAGTTAAACTCTGTTATGGAATTACACTTTCTACACACTCTGGCTTTAGATATTCGACTAGTATCTGCACAGTTCGAAATGTGCACATCTAAAGAAGACTTCGGGTTTTACAGTACTTTTTCTCTCCCCTTTTTGGCAACGTTGTCTTCGAAAAAAAACCGCACGAAGGGCTGCGAAGCGACGATCGATCGGCTAAGATCTGCCCGGTCCGCGAATAGAGAGATTTTTCACGGTGGCAGCGAGACTTTCGATGCTTCGAAATTTGATGGACGAGATATCATTGTTGTCGGTGTCCTTAAAGCTCGACCGTATCGATGGTACTCGGGGTTTTCGTTTCAACTTATTCTCACGTGGTTGCGACCGTACGATATCCGATTACTTTTGTTGCGATAAACAGGTTTCCTCTCGGTTTTCGTTTTTTCGTTGCGCGTGGAGTGTGGGGGCCACTTGTCACGCCGATCTTGACGATTCAAAGGCGGTTAGGGCGACATCTGTCGGTCCGCCGGGGGAAAGTCGGTACGCGTACGTGTTCGACGTGCACGCGAACACGGCCCCTCGCGAACTAGAGGCCATGTTGCGTCGCTATGTCGACGATTGGCTCCGCCTCTCCCCGCGTCGCCCCACCAACGGTGAACCACGAACTCTCTTCCTCGCCAATCGGAACCGAGCTGATCCCGCCAACGACGTTGTTGGTCGTTCGTGCGTCTTGCTCGTGCTCGTGCTCGTGCTCCTGTTTCTCAGCTCTTGTTCCCACTCGTGCTCGTGCTTGTCCGTTCCATAAGACGGTTCACGATGTTTGTGGAAATGTGTGCAGTCGCACCGTCGCGAATTCGCGGCTATGTAACCCGTCTATGCACGATCCTCGAATGTCTGCGTTTTATCGCTATATCGCTACGTATGTGTATCCTGTACGCGCACATGCGTCGTCGATGGCAGCATTTCCTCACGTGCCGCTCCTGCTCCTGCGCTCGGCACACCAGTCGTATTATCGCTTACTTTCCGAGCGTGTTCGCGCGCGCGGTCTGCGCCAAATAGAGCTGTGGAAGAAGGGTACGGACATTCGCTGATGTAGCAAGAAGAAGCACACGCGTGTCCGATCCCTATTTTCGGACATGCCGATATTATCCGAGAAATTAACCCATTCGTTACTTTCTATTTAAATTTCTATGGTCCTTCCGATCAAGTTCGAGCAATGCGGCCGATAACTGTAATCGAGAAGCTTGGTTTGGGAAGTACAGGGACACCCCCCGTGTAGCATGGCATGGTTGGGTTCCAAACGATTCCGGTACTGTGCACGTCTCTATGGCATGCCTGGTACGGAACAAGTGGCTACTAGGTTCTAAAAATTAGCCAAAGTATGCATCGATCTCTTATACTGCCATTGATTCTTGGATATCTTCGTAAATATACGAATTACATACTAAGAGGAAAGATACGATAAGGTAGGGTTTTGTAACTTGAGCTGTAAGCAACGTAGCAGATTGGAATGGCAAACGTGCATCTCTTGAAAACTGGAGGTTGATGCGAAAAGCGAACACAAAGACGGGACCAGTGAAAGGGCTGTAGCGACGGGGTAGGCGAACTAGAGAGAACAAAGGAAGGGTAGGATACCTGGAAAAGTGAAAACGCGATTGAGTAGAATAACGGACCAACTATGCGCAAAGACGGACTAGTGACAGAGCTGTAGGGACGAAGTAGGCGAACTCGAGAGAACAAAGGGAGGGTAGGATAACTGGAAAAGTGAAAATGCGATTGAGTAGAATAACGGACCAACTATGCGCAAAGCAGATTAGTGAAAGGTCTGTAGGGACGAGGTAGGCGAACTAGAGAGAACAAAGGAAGGGTAGGATACCTGTAAAAGTGAAAACGCGATTGAGTAAAATAACGGACTAACTACGACGATGAGACGACTGATGCTCGGCACCTCGCAAACGTTTACCGGTGAATACGAAAGGGACATGATACGCTCTCCGGGTATTTACGGGCATGAAAAGTAACGTTTACTTTAAAGACGATAGATTATAATGACTGCTGTGGTCACTTTGTGTTCTTTTTATTTTTGCAACGACGACCAATCTCAAGAATCTCGGGTTAACAGAAGTACGTACGGACAAACGTGGCAGGGAGCCTGAAATTCTTCAACAATGGGATTTTCACAATCCGACCGACAACGAGCCCTGACTTCCCTCTTTCCTATTTCCCAATCTCTTATTGTACAACGTACGTATCGCGTACAACGTGTATATGTTTAATAAAAATCATAATTATCCATCGTTGCTTAACACTCTTTCGATCGGACCAGGATTTCTTAATATATTGGAAATGTTTCTTTGAGAGAAACTCGTAGTGTGCACGGTCTTTGCCATAAAGTTACCACATTCGTCGGTTTTCTTCCCGATCGATGTTTCTCCTGTTAGTATAAGGCCGTCGTGTCCTTTTATTTTTGTTAGCTTAATTTCGCATAACAAAATTATAAAACTATTGAAAATGTGCAAATATATAATCTATATCCATGGAAGAAACAATATTGTTGGACGGGTGATTTTATGAGACGGAAACGTGCATTATTTAACGAAAGCGAGAACACGCGAATAAGAGTTTAAAATTTAGCGATTTACGCTCGAATAAATAATTCGGAAGGTGAAATATTAACGACGATAGACTGCGTAGAATACGTGAACGATCTTTTTAGTTACGTAATCGGTTAACAGAGAAAACAGTTTGAAAATGGTACGACGATAAACAACGGATTCGTCGTTCCCTGAGCGATCTATCGGCTTTAAGGACACGGGCGGCGCCCGATACTGCCGCCACCTCCGCCCGGACGGACGATCGAATAAAAATTTCAGTCGCTTTAATTGTGTTATGTTGCATATTTAAGTAGAAAACGTCAACGTATTAATTTCCAAATAATAGGTAAACTCCGTAAATGAAACGCAAGATCGAAGAATCGCCGGAAGCGATACCGAAGATTCAAAATAAATTGAAAAAGTTCTTTGTAAATACAGATATTCCGTAATATTCGGTATGCCTTTACGAGTTTAACGTGTCAACATAAGTGGTATCACAGAATATAGATCATGTTCGCATGAATGGAGGAAATCTTGATCGTGAAAAATGGAGTAGTATATTACGCGTGAAAATATAATTCGTTCAGTCGAGAAATTAAGTGTTAAAATACGTGTATGCAGCTGTGAAATTCTATCTTTGTACCAACGTAGAAAAATGATTACTTGTAACGCTTGCAACGTCAAACGCACGGGTGTCCAACGCCCACAGGCATTAAAGGCTACTTCCTCAAGAATGTCTGGTACGGTGAACTGAATCTTCGGCTTTAAACCCGGGTTCGAAATTCTCGATGGAAACATTGGATTTGTCGTGGGCATCGTCTCGCAGGTGAACACAGGTTTAAATGATTGTTTACTGCGGAACGTTCGGAGAAAATATAGTAATTTTTAATTATTCGTGCGATATAACGAACGATAAAAAAATATCTAATGTACATCGCATTCACAATTAAAGTATAAAAATGCGCGCGCGCGCGAGAGAGAGAGAGAGAGAGGGAGGAGAGAGAATAAACTTGTTGCTTGCAAATTAATGCAAATCTTGATGAGTCGAAAGGTCATTTTAAATGCAAATTGCAAACGTATTGAAATATGAAATTAAGCGAGACAAGTGATTCGATCTATGTAGTTGTTACTATTTTTAATAGCTAATTTCATTATTTTTAATTCTAGTATCGTAGACACAATTTTTGAGTTTCCTCGTATGTACGTACAAAGATCAGGACAGAAAGCATTCGCGTGTGCGAGCGATGCGCATAGGTGTAGGGCGTGTCTAACGGGTACTTGTCTGGTGGGTGATTATCGAGCGACTGGTCTACTCGAAGAAAGACACGGTTACCAAACAAATGGGATCGACGATATCTTGAAATAGAAAACCTATATAGTTCATGGTGTTACGTCCGACATCTACGAATGTTGGAAGACGCGAGTTTTTTGAGTTGTCAGCTGAAAAACTATGTGGAACAGTGCGGCCCTGTCTCGAGTATTGATCTGTACGAGAGTTGTCTGCTGCCCCTCCCCAGCCCAACGGTAGATGCTTCATCCCTTCGCCACCCCTGAACAACAAGGATGTCGAGCACCTGTGACTAGGATGCTGGTGAATACCCTATTAGGCACATCTTACGCGGACAATGTCTTCTCGCACGAGGATTCCAATACTCGTTTAGTTACTCGTGCCCCGATGATTTAAACGTCGGAATCGCAGAATACCAAATCCACTCGCGTACATCGTACATCGTCGCACACGTTGAATGCCATAAATTTTAGTAGAAATTCATGATCGCTCAGGCTCGCGGAAGAATAAGATTATCTAACACAAGGGGAGTGCGAGCAGAATATGGAATTTTGTTCGAAAGAAGAGATCAAAATGATCGAGAGTACGCAAGATTATTTGAAAAGATAATTTTCCTTTTAAAGCTTGAAAATTAAGAGCATTATTTATAACAATTTAGAAGCTACATTGTCACGTTGCGATTGAAGTTCAGCGTATAAAACACCGAGTTATGTTTTTTATGAGGAAAAATTGATCGTGTAATTTATAAGCCATTGTACATGCGTATATCGAAGACCGGATGTCTGTAAAGCGTGTAAAGTTATCGTCGCGATGAAACTTGAGAAAAATGAGGAATCGCGAATGAAAAGAGTAGAAAAGATTCAAATTACTTACCATTCGTTTCTTTAGCATTGAGATCATATCCGTTTACGAGTATTTGCCCAACGCGAAAATCTTCTTTACGATTAATAGATGCGTGGACCGTCGATTCTCCATTTTTGCTAGACCATCGTCCTTTCGATCCACGCTGTTGCAATGTCGACGACCTTGAGGTAGAGCTGGACGTTGTATTTTCTGTTCGATTTCCACCTAAAAATTATACAGATAAAATTTACAATCGGTGATAGGTAAAACAACCTTGTACGAGACTAACATGTATTTCAATTCTGAATTCTGCATAAACTTCTATCATTCGGTATACATACACGATATAATTTGTCTATGTCTCTCTCTCTCTCTCTCTCTCTCTCTCTCTCTCTCTCTCTCTCTCTCTCTCTCTCTCTCTCTGTATCTCTCT